TAATGTTCTCAGACACTTACTCTACAGGGAACAGCTTGATGTGGATGTCTCCCATGGTGGTGTGGATGATGGCGCTGTCAGAGACTCTCTTGGGGCCCTCAGCCTGTGTGGCAGCCATCACCTCCTCCTTTGACGGCTTCTCGTTAAAGATGTCTCTGTCCGAGTCTGCGCTCTTTGTGTCCTCTGGTTCCCTCTTTGAGAACTAAAGTTAGGAAAAAAGAATGATCTAGTAAGAGCGGTAGAACAATAACTATATCATGTTAAATTTGAAGGTTTCGTTATCTCACCATGTAGAAGCGGTTCTTCTTAAACGCGGTGCAGAACACGGTGGGGTCGGGCTCCACGTTCTCTAAGGCAGGGTTGTCAGACGCCTTCATCTCCACAGTGGGGGCCACGTGCATGGCCTTTGCGACCCCCTGGAACAGACTCAGCTGGACCACACGAATGTTCTCCAACTTCCCGAGGATCCGCACACATCTGAGGAACAACATCCAAAAACATTTAATCTAACATTCACCTAGACTATGTGGGATAGATGGCCCGATACCATTTCTTACTTTTACCCCTACCCCTCCTTTGCCCCTTTGGACAGAGTTAAGATGGGGTAGTGGATGAAATCTTCACCTATTAAACTGGACAACCCTTCAAAACCCTGATACGTCATCAGTAGTAGTTTTCATAAAAAGATGCAACAATGGCAGTGATGGTGTTATCACAATGACATTTGCCATTTATCTGAAGGAGATAAAGAAGCATGGATGATCGTGACTCTTTCACAGCTTCAATTTCAAACTATCAATCAATCAAATGACTCATCAAACAAAAGAGAACACTGCTTCATCACCAGGCCACTAGCGTCGTTGTAGGCTAATGTTAGCAACCTCTGCTCCTAGCCTGCCAGTCTGCACTGACATTAGAGGGGCAGTAACAAGTGCAGCAACTTCACTAATGGACATCAGTCAAATTTTGGGCATCATAAGCCATCAAAAGGGCAGGAATGCAACATGGAAATACATCAAAATGCAGGTCTTTAACTCACAAATCAGCAATAAGTATGTTACCTTGGCTAGCTAGTTAGCTACAGGGACATCAACACACTACTACCAATATTGTTATGCTTGATATAAAGACACGGTCCATAGAAACACATTAAAGGAAGATTATAGGATGGTTAACATGAGTTTTAAATATCTACTGACAAAGAAAATACATTTGTGGGTTTCTGTTGTTGCTTGTACAGCCGTTTACAACTTTCTGTTTGGTTTGTGATTCTGTACAACCTCTGTTTGGAGGGCCAAGTGGCCCCTGACACTTTACTCTACCCCTCTATCTCACCAAGAATCGGGACACTCTACCTCTAAACGTGAACAAGTAAAACGAGGTGATAAGGGCTAAATTGTTAGGGGCATGGGGTGTTTTGAGATGGAGCTTTCAAGGTTTAGTTAAGCAACCAACACTTGAGTCACTTTAGGACGTTCTCCCCTCCATATAATCGCACCTGTTGGTTTCCACATTGATGACCTTGATGCCCAGCATGGTCCCATACAGCACAAAGTGTCCGGTTTCATCAAAGATGATATTTGTCAGTCGGATGCCGTCCACCTTCTCCAGCTCTCTCTCCACAGCCATCCGCCTCCCGAACTCCATGTCAGGCAGCTGCTGCCTCATCTGCTGCAACTCTGTGAACATCTAACACATGAAGCAGGAGGGATAAGCACGTGAGTTAGACTCATCTTTTAAGATCGGGGATAAACAGTGAGTGAGAACTTACAGTTAATGATTCATCGAACACTCTCATCAGTTTCCCCGTTAGGAAGCGAAAGATCCGAACTTTCCTGTCAGAAGCGATGGTGGCCATTTTCTTCCCATCGGAAGAGAACGCGAGGCTGGTGGGATACGTTTTGTGTTTTGCAAATTCATACAAGTCTGTGTCTGTTTTGTATTCCCAGTGCACATGCTTGGGGAACTTGAATTCATTTGGAAGGCCGGTCCAGTATTCCAGCATTCCTGCTTTGTCAGCAGAGACGATGACTCTAAATTTGGGATTCAGGCGGATTTGAGACAGAGGCGACGAGTGCATCTTGTCGAAGATGTGCAGGGGCTGGTTGCTTCCCCGTCCATCGTAGACGAAGATCTTCCCTGTGGATTTTTCCGAGCAGGCCACCGTAGAGATCGCGTCCCCGGGATTGTAGATCCACTCTGACTGGCCTGGATGGAAGCTGCACAGACGAGACGAAAAATGCATGTTACACTAAGAAAGAGGTGCCAGTGCAGGTTTGTAAGCATCTTCTGTGCACACATACTACACCTGAAGTACAATGCCTTTATAACTCACCCCAGCTTCAGCATATTGATCATGTCAAAGTTGACAACATCAAAAACTTTCATGGCCTGATCGTCACCAACAGAACAGAAGAGGGCTCCTTCAGCACTGACTGCGATACTTTCTATCACACCTGCAGAAAATACAACAGTCATTCATCGAACTATAAGATACATGTTATATTTGAGTAAACAAAACTAAAATGAAATGCAGGGAAGTCAGGATGCAATTCTATCTTGCCCTCTGCCATTAACCACAAATAAATAATCAGACAGACTGTCAAAGACTCAAGTGATAAAGTTAATACATACCGAGATGGCTTCTAAAGTGTTTGACAAACTCTATTCCCTCCTCCTCCTTCTTCTTCCAGAACTTGACATGGCCGTCCTGGCTGGCTGTGATAATGAAGTCTGTCCTGAAAAAAGTATGATTTACCTCATAAGAAAGAAAGCCATGTCCAAGAGGATAAATGAAGTCAAATCAATGAATGTCAACTTCCTTTTATATATTAATACATAGCCATCACTGTATAGGAAGAAATTTAGGTTTGAAGGATTCAGAGACATCACAAACCCCTGTTGCGTTGATGGGAGAGCCCTTCATCATCACAGGTGCATAAAAGCACTCACACTATCGTGTAACACACCAATTCGAAGTCTTATTTAGATTTGACATGGAGCAGTCTTCTTTTAAAAGTGTATAACATTCTTTGGACACAAGAACATTAATGATAACACTGTCTTAACGCACAGGAAATGCTGGTCTAAACTGTATAGTGGTTACAGTGATAATTAAAGGCCCAGTGTGCAGGATTATGGGGATATATTGGCAGAAATGGAATATAATAAATATGTTTTCTTTAGTGTATAATCACCCGAAAATAAGAGTGTTTTTTTTAAGTTAGAATGAGCCATTTCTATCTACGTATGGAGCTGCAGATCCTCATCTATGAAGATCACCATGTTGCACTGCCATATTTCTACAGCAGCCCAGAATGGACAAACCAAACACTGACTCTAGAGACGGACATTCATGTTTTTGCGTTCTTGCGTCAGCCACTGTTGATAGCAACCTTTAAAACACAGATGTTTTTTTTTGTTTTAAAACTGCTTTATCTCTTGTTATTTTTGGATTAAATAACCAGGTCCATTTATTTTGGAGAGGAAGAAACCTCTGCCCATAATTCAGCTCCCAGTAAAAACCTCCTGAATGTCTGGATCTTAAATTAGCAGGTGCTGGTCTAGCAGCCCGTCTGCAACAAGCCAAACCGTGTTGGAGAATCGCTGATTTGTAACATTGCACTGATTTATCCTGTGTTTTCATCGGTTTTAATCCTTTGCTCTGTTTGTTTTGGAGAAGAAGAGACTTCTGTGGATAATTCGGCTCCTGATAAAACCCCCCTGACAATTAATAAATGACACATTAAGGGAGAAGTTTCAGCTGGTTGCAATCTGCAGTCCTCACGTCTAGATGCCACTAAGTCTCCCTAAATCTTTACCATTGTAACTGCATGTAGGAAATACATAGAATTGGATCTCCATAACTCTACAAACCTCCTCTATCATCTAAACATAATAATTAATCTTTGATAAAGTATATGTAACAGGAAATCTGTCCCATCAGGTTAGACTAAGTTGGATACAGTGTGTCATAAGTTTACTGCCAAATCACTTACTTGGAACAAACTATGTGTGTGATGACGTCTCTGTGCATGTAGCTCCGCTCATACATCGCAGCTGAGGGCAGGTTGTCCAGATAAACACGCTCATACTCGAGCACTGGTGGAGAAAACAAAACAAAAACACGCAGGAGTTAGCGGGAGTTTGGTTAGCATGGTTAGCATAGTTTAGCAGGAGTCGCAGATAAATCAAAAAATGTGGAGCTCACACCGCCGGAAACGAACCTTTCCTTTTCTTAGCCTTGGTGGCTTCACTCGGCATGGGTCCGACCCATTCATCGTCTTCTCCATCACCTTCTCCATCCTGGTTGTCATCTGCTTTTCGCTTGAGTTCCACATTGTTTTCTTCTGCCGCCATTGCTGCCGATCTTCCCTGTCCTTCCGGTATTACGGTACTTCCGCTCGACGACTACCACTTACGATACATCTATTATTAGTTTTACGTGTAACTCATTAATATTTTTGATATATTTTATCATAACTAATAAAGCATTTCATTGAAAAGGTTAGCTAAATTTTCGGACAATTTTCTGTACTATTTACGCGCTATAAAAAAGAAATATAGGAGCAACGACGTTCATCGCCTGAAATACTTATTTTAAAAGCTCAAACATACATTAGCGTCACTACACGGTGACAAAAGTATAATTAGTGTTTTTAAAGATGTGAATATCAGGTTTTAACCCTTCAAATTTAAGTATTTTAACCGATTTTAACCGCGTTAGCTGCAGTGGAACAAAGTCTCTGTTGTTTCCGAGGATGTATTATCGTGGAACACTTGGGTCAAACCAAAAGTCAAAAAATTGTAGGGGAGTCCAAAATATCGCTTGGGACTGTTCCGTCACCTACACATCTGCAGATTGATACTCATGTTATTTTAATATTCACTTAGTGTAATGTGAATATTTAGCCACTAATTTAAATACTAACAGCCGAATAAATCACGAGATGAAAAATATTTAAACCGAGGACTCCCCCCGCGTACTCGGAAGTAAACAATACGCTCACATGTATGGCCAATATGGCTGTGGTCTCAAAAGTATAATATTTTTCACTTGTAAAGCAAACTAGTTTAGCTAACATCACCGCTTTATGTGACGGTGTATTATATTTTTAAGTATCAGACAATTTAATTAATTTCTTGCGTTAACGACAAACCCCGGCGGCAGGATGAGCAATATTTACATCCAGGAGCCTCCGTCAAATGGGAAGGTGAGCGCCACTTTTTGCAGCTTTTACATCAAATTATCTTTTTATGCGCATTTCAATCAAAAGCCTGCTCTTATTACTTGCGTATTACAGCACGAGTGTTTAGCTACCTTGCGCGTGTCGACGAACACTGTTGAAATGCAGTATTGTCATGTTATATTAATATAATTGACTGATAAAATAGTTTGACCCTTCATTGTATGTCCCTGCAGCTGACGTTATTTGTGTCAGATGAAATGTTAGAGCTGTAGAATATATTATGTGCATTCTGACTGTGCAGGTAAACGTGGAAATGTGAGTATAGTGTCTAATTCAACTGTTTCCACTCTGTCATCTTTCCTTAGGTCCTGTTGAAGACCACAGCAGGAGACATTGACATTGAGTTGTGGTCCAAGGAGGCTCCTAAAGCATGCAGGAACTTTGTGCAGCTGTGCATGGAAAGTAAGAATCCAGAGCAAGTTAAACGACTGTATCACACACTGCAAAACTTCTAGAACCAAACCTGCTAAAACCAGACATGACAGCAACATCAGTCAGTTTGTAGAGGCCTGCTTTTGTAGCTTACTTTAAAAACACATGCCAAGAGTTCTATCTTTAGAATTTTCTGGTATGATAGTGCAAGTGGCTTTAGATAATTGTATTACCACAATGTTTAAAATGTCAATAGCATATACATTTATCACCCTGACGTGATGGTGCAACAGTGAGGCCATCGTTCTTTGTTGAAGGAAAGTGCTCATAGTTTGAAATACAGGTGTTAAAATGATATGTTTAATTATATTGAGATTGTGGTTATGTGTTTTACGCAACAGTGAGGAATTGATAATTAATTTTATGATAGTTTCAGAATCTTAGATACACTTTGAATTACTTTTCACAAGTATTAAGATCTCTGTTTTTAGACATCCTGACAAACTGTCTTTGTATGTGCCCCCATTTTTGCATGAGTTAAAACAGACTTGTCTGAGAGCACTGACTGGTTGCAGCTGGACACATCCCTGCTGTGATTATCTGTCCATTAATTTCATGACATAAAAATGTATCATGGATGAAATTAATAGATTTTGAATTCTCGCAAACGCAGCATTTGTTATTTCACTTTTGGCATTTATTGTCAGCAGTGCTTTATTTTATGGGTTCCTGGAATGAACCGTGTAATCTGGTACTTATTATAGGAGATAAAAAATAATGTTATTAAAGAAAAGCTCAACTTAAACCCAGCTGAACATTAATCTAACATTAATTTAATATTGGACACTTTATTATTTGCACATGTTGATTTTTATGTTTGCTTGGAGACAACTGACCCGCTGTGCACTGACTAAAAGACTCTAGTTTATGCCAGCAATTGGATGCTGGCCTTTCTTTGTAATTCTTACCAAATGATTTAGTCATTTCCAGAAAATCCCCAGGAAATGGTTCAGAAAATTACAGACCTATAAAATAAAGCGTTACTTTCCTGTCTTGTATTTCTCCGTCCTCTAGGTTACTACGATGGCACAGTGTTTCACCGAGTGGTGCCTGAGTTTATTGTTCAAGGGGGAGATCCCACTGGGACGGGGACAGGTGGAGAGTCCATCTACGGACGGCCATTCAAGGTCAGACTGTTTCTCTGCTGATTTAATTACTGTTCTGCGTTTATAATGTTTAAACTAACTGAATCATTTGTAGGACATGTTAACACACTAACCATTACGCCTAATCAAACATTGAGAGAATGTAGCTGACATTAAAATCCTCTCTGTGTCTTTTTTAAACTTGTAGGATGAATTTCACTCCAGATTGCGCTTCAATCGGAGAGGTTTGGTTGCCATGGCAAATGCCGGGCCACATGATAACGGCAGTCAGTTTTTCTTCACCCTGGGACGTGCAGATGAGCTCAATAATAAACACACCATATTCGGCAAGGTGAATCTGAACAACTGTAGTCAGTTAGTCTGACAGAGGACATTGAAAGCCTCCTATGTGCATGGATTCAGATCAACGTAATTTTCCAGAACTGTGTATGTTAACGAGAACTCAAAGTTGTGCTTTTTTCCCAACAATGCTCGGTGCAGGTGACCGGAGACACAGTCTATAACATGCTCAGACTGGCAGAAGTTGAATGTGACAACGATGAAAGACCTTTGAAGCCCCACAGGATAAAAGCTACGGAGGTATTTTCCTCTACTTTTTTTTTTTTTTACTTGCTCGACAAATCCTTAGTATTTTGTGCCTGTGATTTAAATATTGATGTAAAACATTTTTTCTCTTGCAGGTGCTTCACTGCCCTTTTGATGACATCATACCTCGTGAGACAAAGAAAGCCAAAAAGGACAAAGACAAAGAGGAGGGGAAGAAATCACAGTCAAAAGCCACAAAGTGAGCTCAGGCTTCATCTGTCTCTCACAAATCTAATCACCAGCCCAGTTAGCAATGCGATTAGACTGAAAACAAATATTGTGATCTTATGTCCTTTTGTTCGTCTCTTTGCTCCTGATTCGTCTTGTCTTCAGTCTCAGTGGGTCACGGTGCTTAAACTCGTGTTCAGTTGCTGTATGCAATGCACTGTTCTTTTTATACGCTTCAGTGCCAAAAGTGTGTTGACTTTTGTAGGAACTTCAGTCTGTTATCATTCGGAGAGGAAGCTGAAGAGGAAGAGGAGATGGTGAATCAAGTGAGCCAGGTACTGAAGCACAAAACTACACTCTCCGCTGGCTGCTGAAATTATTGAAAATATTTACAAGAGTTTAGAGTCGATTTAATGTGAGACAGACCATTAAAACTGATCATATCTGCCACTGACACTTAAAATGTTAAAATGTGTCAATCATTATTATTTTAATAGCTCAGTATTGAATGCACCACAAAAATGTTGTCCTCCCTACATGTTACTGTAGGCCCACTTTAATATTTAACTCAGTGTTTGTTTTTTGTTTTTTACAATATATTTGGTACGGGGTCCCTGCTTTCTCCATGTTTTAGCTATGGTGTTCTCGGCATGAAAAACGTTGAAGACCTCCGTTCAAATCATAAACTGATCAGGATAAACCCTGTCATCTAGACTTATACAACCGAGGACAGCCACGTATTTGATTTAATTTCTATAATATAAAACATCTAAAGTCTCTGATTCATCTTATTTAAATTGTTTAAATATTATGTTGTTTTAGATTTGGCCACAGACAGTAAAAATCAGAGCGATCAGAGCAAACAGGATTTAAGTAGTTATAAAGTTTAGTCGTTATTTAAGCCTCAACTCACCAATTTTCCCCAGGTCATAAGATCTTAAATTTGATTCATCCCAGATAATGGCATAATGGTGACTGATGCCGTCCGTTAATTTTAAAAATAACTTAAACAAGAAGAACGTTTAAAACATTGTTCCCTCAGTTATGAAATTAATGGGAAACTTACTAATTAGCAAAACAGTTTATCAGGCCGGGAAGTGGTTTGGGATTAACAAAATGTTTCGGAAAAGTTTTGAATTTTCATTTTTCTGTTTAACTACAGTCATAAGAAATCTCAAAGCATGATCAACATTATGTGAAAGATGGTCCTAGTATTAGCAAAATACAAGCTAGTGCTGCACTGTGTGACTGTTCAAACCTCACCAGTATCACATACACGTAGACCAGACCAGCATCGTGTCTTCACTATGGCCACGCCCCCTTTTGGGGGTAAGAATCCTGCTGTCACATGAGAGAAACAGGAAAATAGAGGAAAACTGTTGTGTATCAGTTTCACACTGAGATTTGTTGCACATAAGGCACTTTTATAAAAACTTAATATTCACTGTCAGTCTCTGAATGATGCTGGTGACAGTTAGCTGGGAAGTGCGTGTTTAATAATGCATGGCTGTGTCATTATATAGGCCTACACATTTTAAACCACTTAAATAAAGTTGTGAAAATGGGATAAAATATTATGGAAAAGTTTTGAAAATTTGTGGGAACCCCGTTAAAAGTGTGTGCCAACTAGTGTGTTTGACAAACCTTTATTTGGAGTTTGAAAATATATATTTGTGTGTTTGTAAATTAAAAATATTTGCAATATTGCTGATTTAAAATGATTTTCTGTTCAAATGAAATGGAAGTTTCAGGAGTTGAGGTTGTGTTGAAATTAGAAAATGATGCAAAATGTGTAAAAACAAAATCAGTTTCTTTCCTTCTTTTACGTTTCTTCAGACAATGAAGGGAAAAAGCAAAAGCAGCCACGACCTTCTGAAAGATGATCCCAGACTGAGCTCTGTTCCTGCAGTTGATAAGTACGTTCAATTACTCATTTAACAATAATTATACAATAAGCATCTTCTCTTACCTTCATAACTCTTGGCCTCTTTCAAGGAAAAAGAAGAAGGGGGCATCAGGAGATACCGCCGAGGTAAGTCGGACACTGTAGGGATAAAAAATAAAATTGCGGAGTTGTTTTTCTCTGATTGTAAATTTCTTTGTGTTCTGTCTTCCAGACTGACGATGATGATGATGATGACGAGGATGCAGATGATGACTATGACTCTGATGAGAGAGAGAAGAGGAGACAGCTCATCAGTAACAAGTTAAGGAAAGACAAAGCTGCAGAGAAAGTGACAGAGCCTGGTGAGGAGGAGCGGGAGAAAAAGACCAGCCGCAGGTACGACTGCATGTTTCTGACCCGTGTCGTCTGACCTTGACTAGAAACAGTGTGCGTGATTTAGTCGGCATCATTTATACTTTTGGTCACAAACAGCTCCAGCAGTGTCAGAATGTGGCTTCACTTGTAATGCTGCGTAACAATCTGGTGGGGGAGCTGTTGTACAGCTGTTGTATGGAGAGGCAGCGATGAACCACTGTGAGCAAACTTCTGTTTAATGTATATGCTATGATCAGAAGAGATCATTTAAACTTTATTTTTCGGACATCAGGGTATTCAGTAAATCCACATAAGGGGAAAGGAGCTGGGTTTTAAATATTTTTAATAATAACTGAGTTAGTGCTGCAGTGAATGGTTATTAATGATTAACCTGACTGTTATTTTCTTGATTAATCAAGTTTGAGAAGCTGGAGCATGGGAAATTTTTTGTTTGAAAAATATCTTAAGGCATTAATCAATCAACAAAACAGTTGCCAGACGATTTTCTGTTGATCAGCTAATTGTTTCAGCTCTACACAGAGTTTACCTTAAAGCGTCATGAACACAAAAACAGATCCAGAAGAGATTAGAATGATTCATGTCATATTTAGACCCTCCTGGAGCCAAGACACACCGAAAACAATCATTAGGACGCATTAATTACTGACTCTCTGCAACAGTAAATCCTTCCAAACAGTTACGTTTTGTCTGCTGGTGACTGTGATTAGGTCATGATTGGATTCCAAAGCAGTTTGACCGTTTAAAAATGGTGTTATTTAAAACGTGCTTCACTCATATCGAGCACATTTTGCTAAATACAAAGAGTCACACTGTGAAATTTAAATGGTCAGATTCAAAATCCTCAAAAGAAGCTTGTTGACTAAGTTGGTTGGACAGACATCACACTCACAACATTTCTGATACTGAATCTCATAGTTACTCCCGAAATATTATGTTAAAGGGGCCTGATTTAGCTTTGCACTTTAGAATTGGGGGGCTCACGAGAGACATACTTTTAAAAACATTCAAAATCGAAGAAGCAGAAGCAAAGAAGTCCCGACTTTTAGCTTCTAGTAGAGGCCAGGCTCCAAAAACATTGGATTCTACTATTCATGATGCAATTCAAGTCAGCTGCATCTTTAATAAGGTGCCTAAATGGACACTTCTTTCAAGCCTCACAGCTCCAGTTACTAGGCTGATGGAGGCTGAGTATTGTTCTGTCTGATGAGTAATGCCGGGTCCGCACTACATGAGAATCGAGCCGACTTTGGCCTGATTCCCCCTTCTTGACAATTGTCAGCAAAGCCCAATTCGTCTTGCCAGATTTTCCAGTGGTATGAGGTATTTGAGGAGTGTTTTTTTTAAAGGGGCCTGATTTAGCTTTGCACTTTAGATTTTTTTTACACTACCAATCTGCTTGAAAGTTCATTCTAGCCCCACTGATTTCAAATTGGAAATATTACATGTCAAATATTTACGATCTGATACCCTGTTGTGTGGAGGGAACCTCGAGGATCGCCGGTGGTCCCGCAGGTCTCAGAGGGTCTTAATGCATGGTTTACTCATGTCCGGCTTGGGCTATAACATGTACAGTCCATGTTCTCGCTGTGGTCCATGACCTTTTCCAAATTTCTTTCTTTTTTCTTCATTAATTTTCTGTAGTACAAAAACTGAAGCTAGTTCTTTCTGCCCATCCTCCACCATTGAGAGTCGTGACCCTGGCTGTTCATGAGTGCAGTCTGTTAAGGCTCAGACACACCAAACCTTCAAAGAACTAGTTGCGACAAAGGCCGACTGTTGTGCCACCTCATGTCGCTTGCGTCCTGGCCAAAAAGTTGCACATGAACACACCGCAAACACTACAACCGATGGCCAACCAGCATGAACACTCTGCACCTGGGTGAGAGGCAATAACTCTCCATACCAGCAGGTGGCAGTAGTCTGTTCTCATCATTCAAACAGTGAAACCAAAAGACCAACAGGACGGATTCAAGACGCTAGTTAGCCAGTTAGCACATTAACAAAACAACCCAATGTTCAAAGGACAAATGATGTTTACTGTGCACTTGTGAACAATAACACAAATAATTATGAACAGTTTCAGTTCAAGAGCTTAATGACTAAAAAATAATCTGACCTTATTTATCAAGTTTGTCTTCATCTTACTCCCTTTTGACTTTAGCCATTTGTTTACTTTCCTCACTTCTGTTTCTTTTCTCGTGCACTGAGCTGAACTGAATCTGTGTGATTTCGTTCACCGATGGTCTTCGCCGTCTCGGACACCAATTCGACATGCTGAATCGGCTGATAAAAAGCTGACAAAGCACGACTAGTACCAATGATGCAGGACACACTACAAAATCTAGGGTGACAGACGTGCACCGACGGCCCGATATTGACCGAAAGCTTACTGTCAGCTTGGTGTGTTGGGCCCAAGATTTAAAACTCTTTTAGTGTGGGCCAACCTTAAACTGAACTTTACATGTGAGATTGGTGGACTGACCCTCTAAGAAGCATTTGAAAAATGTCTGTGTCAAGATGTATATCCTATTTTCCTATTTGATCCCCAAATATGATATAATTAATAGCAGCACTTTTATTTTGAACAGAATTTAATAATAGAAGTATTGAATAATAAGTATGGTGCTCTTGAACGTGGCTCTAGTGTCTCCCCAGCTCTCTCTTATCCTGGTGTCACTGACATCCACCTATCTCCCAGCTCTGTTTTCTACACACTTTCTCACACACACACACACACACACACTCACTCACACACATATCTCAGTTGTAGCTCACTGGACCAACATCAGTGGACCTGCTATTTGAAACAGGAATGTTGGCACTCAGACCAAATTACTTACTGTGCTGAAGTAGAAGCAAACAGTGAGTCCGTCTGAGCCAACAGTGTGAGTGAAATGAAGGTGAGAGTGGAAGGTGATGGTGTGTGAGACAACATTAGTATGAAAATGAGCTGAGGAGAGAACAGAGGCAGAGAGGGATTTATCTTTCATCTCCCTTTGATGCTGCTGGTTGGCCGGTTATCTCTCCTCCATATCCTCTTAACAGGTAGCCCTCAACACACATAATCAACATACCCTTCTCTCATTAGTGCTAATGGGATAAGGAGCAGGGCCCCAGTCATTTGTGTGTGTGTGTGTGTGTGTGTGTGTGTGTGTGTGTGTGTGTCCTGACTGACAGCCAGCTCAATGCAGGCAGACTGTAGTATATTAAACACAAGCGCAGATTGTTTTGCTACAAGAACTGTAACCCAACACAGTGGTTTGTCTTGGCAGGGAATCAAAGAGCAGGCTGGTAGGTACAGTGTTAGTCCGGGACAAAGGGGGCATTGTTGCAGGGTGAGCTCCGCTCTCCCACCGTTGCTTTTGCTTTGAGCTTTCAGCTGCTCTGTGAGCAACCAGGAACACCAACTGGTATCTAGTCACCTGGGAAAAAAAGGGAGAGAGGATGTCAAAAGCAGCCACTTTTCTCAGTTCTGTCTGACTGAGTTCACTGCTGCAGGACTTTTGTTGTGTGCATTTAAAGGTCCCACATTTCATGTCTTTTTTTATTATAGAAGTATAGGTGCTTTTAAAATACTGTTAAAGTGTCAAAATGCTGTATCAAGAGAGAAATGCACACAGCACATATTCAGAAACTGTGCCTCTGAATGAGTTTTTGGGACTTCTGTGATGTCAACTAGGGATGTCGCTTTCACTTAATTTTGCTTTCAATAGCCCAACATCTATTAACTGGCAACTAACTGGTTAATTTTTAAGAGGAAAAAAAGGTGGTGATATTTAAATGTTCTGTGTTATAAACGTTTAGCCTTTTATTTTATTTATGTCGGCTTTGCTGAGAGACAAACGGCTAGAAATTGGCTGCAAAGCTGAGCAACGTTCCTGGAGTCCTGATGTCGGTCTAAAGGTTAATTTTGCTACTCTTATGCATACTACACTGCACACCACCCTGATTTGGTGGGAGATAGACAGCCAGCTAGCCACGTTAAAATGTGGAAACATAGTGCCCTGTGCCCACACTTTGGTCTAGCTAACATTAGCCATGGCTGCTCTGCATTGTGCACTAGCCAAGTTGGGTGGGACCTAGCTAGGGGTGCAGCACATGCTCAATTATGCTGTTTACGCCATCCCAGTGGTGGGACTATGTTGCTTCGGGAACATGGTGGCCACCCTCCGATCTTCCTTCAGGTAGCCCAAATTAGTAAACAGCTTCATTTGAGCCACAAAAAAACCCTTTAACTATGTTAGCACTGCCAGCAGTGCTGACATTGCTAATGGTGCTAACAGAGCTAACAACAATGCTAAGGGGCCTGTGCGGCTCAGAATTTAGCTGCTTATTCAGGGGAGCGACCTGGGAGAGACTGAAGGGTGGGCACAGTGTTTCCACAGCAATGTTGTTGGGTCATGACAGCGTTACTAGCATGAATTGCCAAATAAGTGGCGCCGCTAGTTAGCTACCATCCAGCCTGGCTGGTGCACAATGCAGAGTGGCCAAGGCTAACGTTAGCTAACCGGTGGAGACTGAAGGATGGGCAGTAGGCACTGTGTTTCACATGTTAACACGGCTAGCTGGCTGTGTGTCTCCCACCAGATTGGGGCAGTGCACAGTGCAGTAAACTGAACAGTAGCAAAATTAACCTGACGACCGACATGCGTAATCAGTCAAAACTATTCTCAGCAGTTAACCTTTGACATCTTTAAGTTGAGACACACAATGTAAAAGGTAGAAAGTGCTGCCACAGTGTCGTTACAGTTATTCCCTGGCTGAGATGCAGAGAGCACAGATGTGGAAGACCTGGAAACACTGACCAATCAGAGCAGACTGTTCTTTGGGAGGGGGGGCTTAAAGAGACAGGCACTAAAACAGAGCGTCTTAGACTCAGGCAGACAGTATGAGGAAAACTTGTTTTTTGAAAATGAAAGCATGTAACCATGTTCTAGTAGAAACTGAAAATACAAGCATGAACCTGAAAATTAATAAAATATGGGACCTTTAACACTGAG